AAATCGTCCCTCGCCCCCTCATCCACCTCCTACGTTAAATTCTTGCTTTTCAGAAGGCCATCTTTCACTCGAATCTCTCCTCCGCTCCCTCATCCTCCGTGTGTGCGAAGTCCTTGTTGCTGAACGACAGACCCTCCTGTCATTTTGGAGAGTTGCTGCATGAGTTCGTGGCTGGAAGGGTATTGAATCGACAAACTTGCTTCTTTTTCTGTTTATGAGCATGGAGGCCTATTATAATTTGAGCTTTTTCATAATTGGGTCTTTCCTTCTTCCTTCTGCAATCAATCTGTACCTCATTTTTTATTCCGAGACAATATGAAAGTTTAGGTGTTAGATTTGTAAATACATAAGAGTTGTTTTTTATAAAATCATAGATTGTGACTTTAATCAATATTACTATGTATGTATGTGTGTGTGTGTATATATATATTAATTAGGATGTCATTCCTTCTTCCTTGACATGTTTCTTAGTCTTGTTCTAAAAAATATGAGGACAAATTTTTATGCCTTTGGCGTGCTTTTCCAATGATTTTAGCATTTTCTCAATGGTTCTATGCAGATCTTTGTATTGTTTCTATGCCCTATTTCATCATTCTTTTTTCATTTTGGGGTACAGTGTGCTAGAATTTACATTTGGGGTCTATATACAAGCCCTTGAAAGGTTGCATGCTTTTATTTTCTTATGATTAACCACAAGAAGAGTATATAATTTTTTGATTGGAACTGTTATTAGAGGGTAGAGTAGCTAATTTTGGTTTCAGATGTGCCAAATTAGAGTGGATAAAAAATAGAGCTTCCATTCTCTTTGTCCAAGAAAAGAATTACATCCTAATTTGGATGGAATGGAGTTGGTTCTACCACAATTCGAGCCATGACATGTGTGTCTTTTGCCACAGGCTTTAAGGTTATATGTACATCCTATTCTGCAATTGCTATAAATGTATGATTTAGTAAATTTTGTGGATTCAAATTTTGTAATTTTTTTTAGGATCAAAACTTTATTTATGTTTTAAAAAGATCAATTTCTCACTAAATTTACAAAAATAAAGATTAGTAATTACTTCAATTATTTTAATTTCTGTTTTAAGTTGTTTTCGTGTGGTGTTTTCTGAATTGTAATTGATAAGTAAAATCTTGCACACAAAAGGCATGCAATTAATTTACAAATGGTGCAGTGAATTCGCATGTTGACATTTGTAATGATAAAACAATAAGAACACATTGCATATTGTCCTTTGATTTGTTTATTATGCTTCATTTCATGGGAGCATTTTTTCTGTTATTCGGAGAGTTTGATAGCACATCTCCAGCCATAATCTTTCTTCATCATGAACCCAAATTCTTCAGTGGGTTCATTTTCAAGAGCATTTCGTATGTCAAAGAAAGTGTTTACTCCCTCTCCTTCAGAAATGGAACAGATAGCGTCTCAAGTCTCTTCATTATTGTCAACAGAAAACACATCATAGCCTTCAGGAAGCTCTAAATTCTTTAGTATAGAAGCTCGAGCCATATTTCCTTGTTTACTTCGGCATTCTCTAGCAAATTGTCATTCGTTGCCGCAGATATAACATCTACATTTAGATGTTTTAGGTTTATTCTTGTTTTCGAACACGGATGTATGACTCATGCTGCTTTCCTTTATAATTTCTAGATTTTCTGAGCTCATACTTTTTATGCTGATTATAATATCCCGATACTGGAATTTTCTTGCATATTGAGAGGTCTTTGATATCTCTCTGTACCGTGGCCTTTTTGCATAAATCAGCTAAGTCCTTGGTAATACTCCTACTGTATTGCCAGTGTATTTTTGTTTGAATGTCTCTTTAATTTCATTTCCAATTATTGGAGGCAATTTTCTAAATAATTTTTTGGAGAGTTCGGGATTAATAAACATTCTACCTGATTTTGCAGTTAGAACTTTATAATCATTCATATATTCAAACATGTGTTTGATCTCCGAGCATGTCAGCCTTTCTAAATCCAGATATGCCCTGTTCTGCTCTTCAGTAGATCCCTGATAAGGATCTTCCATGAGTATTATTCTTTGTATATGAGATAAAATATTTTGCGGGTCATCCGCAATGTTGACGAAGGCTTCATATTCGTCTTTGTAAGCCATTCTCCACTGAATCCAGATTTTCTTCTCCACTTCGCCAAGAAAATTTTCAATAAATAATACCTTTGCTTTATTATCTGTGAACTGTTTATTGTTAACAAGATTGAGAGTAATTGATTCCCATCTAGATATGACATCATCATAGGGAGAGAAATCTTCCGGGAGAACCAGAAGAACACCTTGTGTACTCTGCGCTGATGGCAATGTCCACATATTTTGTTGGAAAGATCGTTTGAAATCATTACATGACTGGACCCATCACTGATTCATTCGACGGTAAATAGGAGGAATTTACAGAAGCATATAAACTATCAGCTTTAGATGTCATCTTCTTGAGCCTTGGATATTTTAGATCAGCGAGCTGATCTTCAATTGTAGGGTAGCAAGCTTGTGATGATTCAAGATCGAGCTCAGGCTCGTGAACAAAATTTTCAGAATTCAGGGTAGGGTAGCAAAGATCATTTTCACCACCTTCTGTGAATGAATTTTGTTCATTATTTAAAGAATTCATATATAAGAATAGAGAAAATGAGGAGTCATCATCCTCAGAGTCTTCAACTTCGGAGGAATGATCCCAAATTGGATCATCCTGTTAATCAACTATTTGATCCCAGATGGGACCATCATCATAAGCTATAAATGCGGCTTCCTCTTTAGATCCCTCCATATCATTTAAAGAATGACGAGGAATGGGAGGTGGAGCTATAGGAGCGTAATCAGAAAAGGATAGACGAATTGTTCCGTCTATACGTCGATGCGTACGCTTATGTTGTGGAACTTGAACTGTGAATGTGATCAACTCATGTTGAAATGTGAGTTAGTGGAACCAGAAGAGCACACCACAAGGAGACACCTAAGAGAATTGAGATCATCTATTAGGAATGTGGTGTAACTGCAACCGTATTGGTTCGTACTCAATGTACAGACCTTAGCTTTGATGGTGGAGAAACAATAACGTCACCATGCCACAACCAAATTCAATAGACAAAGTTCAATCTTAAGATCAGACAACAATAATACATCCAGTAGAGCATCACAATCGACCCCGCCAGAAGAAAATATAATTTTAAGTGGAGAAATAGTGGAGACTTCCAACCTTCCCAAATTCATCCCAATAAAGAATTGTCTCAAGTACCATGACTTTGGGCATTTTGTATTTGATTGTCCAAATAGGAGGGTGATCTTCTTCATCGAGCATGAAGCATTTAAAGAAATGGACAATGATGTAGGAGATACTGAAAAAGGACATACTCCCAACTAATGCAAATGCTAGTGATTCCTGCTAGATGACAAAAGGATTAACATTCATTGCTTTAGAAGAGAGTGTGCCCAAAGAGTCAATACTAGAAGAGGGGCAGCCCTTGTTGAACGAATTGACAGATATCTTGACCGATAGTTTATCCCTTGGGTGGTTACTCTTGTGTGTAGTCCAACCCGTCACATATTTCATTTCAGAGTTAATCCCTCCAGACAAACTTGTTTAATCGCGTACGATGAATGGGAGAAGTATATTACAAATTTAATGACTCTAAACTTGGGTTTGTGAGAAATCTCATCCTCACGCAGTTCCAATTCTGATTGTGCCAAAACATGTTGACTGCTTATTCTATCTGGACAGTCTTTGAAATGATGTATGTGCTTTAGAGTTGCATGAAATGGGCATGAACATAAATTTGTTGGGGGGTTTCTCAACCACAACAGCGCAATGACATTGTTATTATGATAGATCAATTCTAGAAGCCTATAAGGCAAAAGAAGAAGCCTTTCTTAGCCGAAGATAATGATGCAGGAGCTCTCTATTTAGTATGATGCTGCAGAAAAGGCAAATCTCGTAATCCTGTCTAACTACTGAGTACAGGTTCCACGATCTTAACACATAATACTGCGAAAAGGTGGGATCTTGTGATCCCGTCGAGTTCTGAGTGAGAATTACTGATTTCGCTGGAGGCCAGTTGCACCTCAAATTCTGTCCCATTATCTATTTCAACCCAATTTTCTTTCCTTTATGATTTCTTTCTTTTTTCTCTATTTCTAATTAGATTATTTTCTTTGAGAAAACTATTTGTGTTTTTTTTTGCTGTTTGATAAACTTTTGATTTGTTTTTTGTGCTTTAGAGATTGTATCTTAATTTCTACCCTAATAGAGTGTTGTATCCTTTTTCTTTTGCAAGTGGTGTGATTGTTATCTTGCCTAGGAACAATTGGTGGAATCTCCTTGCCACTTCTTTCTTGCTTTTTCCTTGTTCGAGTGGCTATTTTCAGCTGGGACATCCACTGAACTCTCCTGATCTGCTGTCCAAGAGCAGATTTTAGTTCCTATCCCCATCCAAACATCGTCGATACTTCATATTTTCATTTCATTGTTATTCCACAACCACTTTCCTGTCAAATTCAATTTTTTCAATACCTTCTAGGAGCCTTAGGAAGGTGTCAGTTCCCTAAAATATTCTGATGTCTTTTTTTATGTTATGGTATAAAAATATTATTAATTTCTTAGATTGTGCCATGTTTTATCGTGCATATCATAGGTAGTCCACCTTACTTATATTGAGAATACTTCACTAACAAGATCATAAATGCATTACAATTGACTACACCCATGCTTCTAGTGCATCGTGTATATAAAATAAAGTCTAAATACATGCCTAAAATATTTAATGATAACATGTAAATATATAATGTCCTTGAACGAATGATAGTATATATATATATATATATGGTGAATGTATCTATATGCTAGTTCGGTTGTTTGAACTTGTTCCTCATTTGAGACTTCCATGAAGACCTGATCCGTTGTAGTTTCTGTTAGCACATTTGTCTCGATGTATTATGTATTAGTTTTTATTTACATGGCTAACTTGGTATTGCCTTCATATTTTTACAGGATTACTCCCTTACTTGTGTTATGACAGGTCACAAATCAACTGTATCCTCGTTGGCTTTAGTAGATGGAGTTCTATACAGTGGAAGTTGGGATGGCACTATTCGGCTATGGTCCCTTTATGACCATACTCTATTGTCAGAGTTGGGTGACAAAACACCTGGTAGTTCTTACCCTGTCTTGTCTCTCATTGTAAAAGATCATTTCGTTCTTTCTTCATATGAAGATGGGTGTATAAAGGTTCGTGATATGTTTAGACTTATTGCCATAGGTTCTTCTTGCTTTTCTCTTGTTGAGGAAATATCTAGGGTAGTATCATTTTCTTTACCGTAAGTATGAATTATATTTAGTTTATTTGGAGTAGTGTCAAGTGTGATAATTAGCTTGACTTAAACTCATAATCATTGAACTTTTAAATTTAAATTATAGGGTCCACCCAACTTGGACTTGACTCAACATTGATTAGATTTAGATTCAAATTGAATTTTGATTTATTGATTTGTTTGAATTACTCAAGTGACTAGAATTTGATTCCAAGTGAGCAACATAGACATGAAATTGATTTGCATAAAAGATAGGTAAAAACGTACTCATTTTAACGATTATATTGTTGATTTGCATTAAAGCTCATGTAAAACAGAAAATCGAGAATTTAGGTATATACAATTTTTTTGAAGTTTTTTTGTATGACAATCAACTCAAGTCTATCAAGGAAACTAGTAATTTTTTAGCAAGTATTTAGATTTGGTTATTCTTGTCTCCTTAGAGTGTTGGTAAACATTATTGTGGTAGTAAAGCATGACCCTAGCAGCCAAGAATACTGTGTCTCACTTACTGTTATTTTTATAGTTTAACATGCTTCTTCTTTTGATCTTGGTCTCGGCAGCTAGCAACTTCCTATACAATTGGCTTCTGTTACAAAGTTCATTTTTGTGGAAAACCAATAGAATCTACCTTATTCAACAAAAACGAGAAATATTTTCATTAATACATGCCTTATGAAGATTTTCTACTGGCAGGAAATTATTTTTTTCTTTCACTTTGCCTTTGGGTGGTCTCTGATCCCATTTGCCTGGGCAAGAAAACTGTTTGGTAGGATATTAGTGACTTGCACATTATACTTCAATTAACAACACGTGTGATTATTAAAATCTCTCAAGCCTGCATGAGATAGATTGGGGTTTGATTTGTTGTGTTGGTTGATCGTATAAACTATATACAAAAATTCATGACATTTAAGATATGTTTGTGGTAAAATTAAGAAAGCTAAAATGGGGAAATAATTATTAGATTTATGTAATGAGATCATGTACTGAAGATATAGTAGTAGAAATAATATTCGTTGATTTAAGCATATACAACTGAGATATAAATTAATGACTAAAACAAATGGGTAGAACTAATGCGGAAGGTTCAAGGATTGATCAATAAAAGGTAAATTGGCGGGATTTTGTGCGACAAGAATAGCATAAAATATAGTTGATGCTACTTCGAACATGAGGAATGAATGGGAATTGAAATTTGTAGAACTGGCCTTAACGTGGTTGGGTATGGCCCATGGTGATGATGATAACACAATCAGTGTTTGAAATATCAGCTATCAAGCTTGCTTAGGTGACCCAATCAAACTGTTGTGATGAGCCTTATTCTTGTTCATGGATTGGACATGAAAACTTGCTCCTTGTTCATGTGTAAGAACTGGAAAAAAATAAATAAAATAAAAGAATTTAAATCTCAGCCGATTTGATTCAATTGCCGCCAGGCGGGCTCCTCATTCAAATAGGAGGGTAGAAATCGTAGAGGCGTAAAGAGTTGAGCAGAGAAGAAGAATAGAGAAAAAGAAAGGAGACAACACACCCTAGCGCAACACCTGCACTCGGGAAGAAGGGAGACGACACCTAGGGAGAATTGCGTGCTGGAGACGCAAGCATGAGCGAATTGTGCGAACTCTAGCAATTCGGTGCGGGCATCAAAAGGAAGAAGGGTTTTGCTTTCAAGTGGGAGGAGACATCGTTGAGCATGCTAGCTCTCAATGAGGGCGACGACGATAATGATCGAAGCCAAATGAAGTGGCATTTGGTAAACTTGATGACACAATGTTCATGGTTTCCAAGCTGGAGAAACTGTGAGCAAACAAAAAGGGAGGAAAGAAAGCTCATGTGCGGTAGAAGAAGGGAAGGCCGCATGTGCGTTTTGTACTGGAGGTTGCCAAGCTTGAGGAGCTAAGGTACTTTTATGTACTTTTATTTGTCTGTATTCAATTAAAATTATATGTTACCTAATTTCTAATAATTATTAATGAGAAATGCAGTCTTTTAAAAGTTCAAGTTTTCTAATAAATAATAATAATAATAATAATAATAATAATAATAATAATAATAATAATAATAATAATAATAATAATAATAATAATAATAATAATAATAATAATAATAATAATAATAATAATAATAATAATAATAATAATAATAATAATAATAATAATAATAAATTATGTGGTTAAAGATTAGTTAAATCTATAATATGTTAGATATTATTTTGAAGAATTTAAAACATTAATTTATAAATTCATAACCAGGTCTAATTTTTTTTACTTAAAGTTAATCTTCATATTTTTATTGATTGAAAATATAATAAGTCAAATTAGAACATGAATCATGATAGTTTTATTGTGACAAACTACATAATATTAAATTACTAATAAAATTTATTTAGTATTAATTATTTTAAATTTGGAGAATAAAATTTCTAATAAAATTAACTTATTTTATATGTTTTAATAGGTGTTCAATATCAAGTGAAGGAGTTATGACTTAAGGTCAAAAGAGGAAAAAACTCGAGATGAGTACCCATGTTTTTATGCTATAGTAATATTTTTGCTTATTCTAGATCAAATAAATTTACTGTTATTCTCACTAGTTATATTGAAATCACTTCAAATTCATGATTTATGTTTCTGTCGAACTTTTGTTCATATTGTAGGAATGATGTGTACTTAATATTGTTTAAATTATTGTAGATTTTAAATGTTATAAAAGTTTATTGACCGATATACGAATGAGAATAAAATGATTATTATTAGATAGTGATTGACTAGCAGGGGAATACTATGATATCCGTGTACATATTTGAAAAATAATATTATTATTGAGATACCATAATTAATAAAATTTTATACGACGTTTCTGTGACGGTTGTATATAAAATGATATAGATATAAAAATAATATAGTATGACGTAACAAATATTTTTAAATATTTTGATTAATCATACTTATAAGTATAAATTATCAAATGCTCTTATATGGATTTATTAAGTATGACGTAACATATATTTTTAAATATTTTGATTAATCATACTTATAAATATAAATTATCAAATGCTCTTATATGGATTTATTAAAAGTTTAACTGACATGTATATTATTTTTTTCATTGTCACTATAGTTTATAAGAATGGGTATTCACTGGCTTGTTAGCTCATTCTATTTTAAATTAATATTTTCATAATAAATTGTTATGACCTGACCCGAAACTTGAAATTAACTAAGATAGGAAAAGATGATTGGACGGTAAAAATTGATTTTTTTTAATTATCATTTTTGTAATGAAAGAGCCACTATAAAAATAAGTTAAAGTAATACACTTAAATTTACTTTAATTCTTATTGTTCACATCTTCTATAAATATTTTGTTTTCTATTGTTTATTTTTTAATGAACTGATTAAATCTGTAATATTAATTTAAAGTAACAGTAAGCTAAAAATATAGTGGGTACACTTCTAAGTCATAGTAAAAGAATGAAAATAAGATAATAGGCATGACAATTAAACATTTAATAAATTTGTATGAAATATTTGATAATTTATAAATATGATTGATCACGATATCCAATAATATTCCATGTGTTTTACTATATCAATAACATGTCCATATCATTTTATATTTGTACAATCGTCATAGTAGCACCGTTTTAAACTGTATCATACAAGGTACTTCAATATCAATATACTTTTCAATTTACGTGCACGAGTATTTTAGTATTTCTCCATTAGTACTATAAAGGGGTAAACTACGTCATAGTCAAGTATGTACATGCAATTAAATTATGCAATTTATATCATTACGTTTATTTCATTCAATTCAATATATTCTGTATTTATTTACATAATGTATAATAGTAGTATTTCTAAAATATAAATTCGTCACAGTAATACGACTAACATCTAAAAGAACATTTAAATCACTATAAAATAGTGCATTCATATTTCAATAAAAATCATTGGATTTAGTTTAGAAATAAAAATTGCTATAACTTAAAGTATGAGTACACACTTTGCTAAAAGTGCAATTAAATCACAATCTAAAATTGTACCATCTATGACGTTGCCCGGTTAGTATCATAAAAAGGTAAACTCCATCACAGTGAAGAATGTACATGCAATTAGTCTATGCAATTCATTGTAGGTTTTTCAAGTGATAATGTGTTTGACACTACTGCATCTAGAAGTTTCTGCATATTATGGATGAATGTTTGCATGAATTGTATGAATGCAAATTTGATTTTTCCCTTAAGATACATGATTTTACTATATTATAAGTCTGATTAATATGCTTATGAAATTATTGCTTCGAAGTATTCATTTATTATAATTCATGCGTTTGATATATGAAATGCCTATGATGAATATTTTGTTACATGAATTATAATTTTAAAAATGTAAAAGTGATTTTATGCATAAGCTATTACATGAATACTTGCAAGTATAAATGATAAAGAATGAGGAGATTACCAACTCCTGGTACTCAGACGAAGATGAAACTCCAAGAATTTTTGGGATTAAGCGACAAATGAATGTAGGAACCGTTGGTTCCAAAGAAGCTATTGATAATTGTTATGTTGGAGGGGTCCAACCTTTATCAATAATTAATGTGGCATTTAAACTGGGAGACGACATCCAGTTATATGATATGACATAAAAATAATTAAAGCATATACAATTACGAGTGACATTTCTATGACTAGATCGATGACACTTATCAATTTGCTTATGAATATACTTATGATGACACATGTATTGATAAAATAAATGTTTTATACAACAATCATGATTTTTTGTATTAAATGTTTTTCTTTTACATGTTTTATACAATTACAACATGTTGCGACATGTATTGTAGACAATGCATGAGTTAAATATGATCATGCGTGTTATTTCTGTTTTTTAAGGAAAATTTTAA